ATAATCATTTTTCCTTTTGGTGGTGGGCTGAATAATAACAGTTATTGAACAGTGTCATGGTTAAGATCTCAAAGCCACATACAATCAGTCTGAAAAACAGATGTGGCTTGAGATCACCACACAATCTAGTGTTGTGCAGTTCAGAAACTAGGAAAAGCCCGTCAAGAAACTCATCATTCCAAAATATTTGTAAAAGGGGAAGATTTTTCCAGGGTATAGATAAAGTCTCCTTAAAGATAACTGTATGAAAGAGAATTAGGTTGAAGTTTACATTTTTGGAATATATTAAACTCAAATGTCTTTACTAAATGAAGACCCACTTGCAAATACTATTTTCTTTTTCCTTTTACTATTTTTTTCTAACTTTATTTTTAGCCTTTGTTCATAATACATGTATTCTTCTCTTCCTGGTTTCCCATCTTCTTTAAGTCATTTCATCTGGGTATGTGTGGACCATCTGTCTTTCCAAAAGGACAAGGGACAGGGGTGGGAACAAGAGACGCAGTGTGAACAGAAAGCCAGGAAAAATCTTGCAGGCAGTTTTTTGGCTCCACTTTTCTGGCCCCTCTTTGCCTGCCCTGCAGCCCCCTGGGTAGCAACAGAGAGACAACAGCTTGTATCCACTTGAGAAAGTGGCAATGGCTGCAGAAGGGAAAACGCTGGGCTGTTAAGCTCTCATCCTAGATACAGAAAAGCAATGCAGATGGTTGGTGGTGTGCTAGAATGCACACCTCCTGTGCCACAGGATCAAATAGAATGGAATTCTTGTCCTTGAAGTGGAACATAAGAAGTGCCAATATAAATTGAACATATGTTTGGTTATGTAAAATACAAGCCAATGATTTGAATTGCTTGCAAATATACAATTAGAAGTTGTCTAAATTGTGATAATTTTGTAATAACCTCTGTCTTTCCCCCAAAACCCTCCTATGACCTTGGGGATTTGTCACATGCATATGGCACTGCAGGAGTGCACCCCCAGGACTGTCCAGGCTTAAGATGCAGGTTAAATATCACATATCCAAAATGCTTAGGACTGGAAGTGTTTTGGAATTCGGATTGTTTTGCATTTTGGCAAATCTGCATAGTACTTACTGGCTGAGCATCTCTAAAAAAATCCAAAATCCAAAACGTTCCAGTGATGGGTTATTTTGAAGTGTAATAGGAAGGAGAAAAAAAGATTTAAAAACAATGAATGTTCCAATGAACGTTTCCTTTGAGCGTGATTGTTGAGCATCATGTTGGTGCTCATTTAGTTTTGGATTTTAGAGTATTTCAGATTTTTAGATTAGGTATACTCAGCCTATATGCCCTTGAACACTAGAGCAACATGATGTCTAGCTGTTGACCTTGAAAATTTAGCCCAAATGACGTTCCTTGAGATACTACTTTCAAAGTTCCCTAGCCTTAGCACAGAAGATGTTCAGTTAATAATTTTGTTTTTTTTTAGATCATAATTGTGTACATTAATTCTATCAGTTAATAAATTTTGAATGAATAGGATATTAGTTCATCTTTTTTCCATTAGCAGTTTTTTTTGGTTTTTTTGGTTTTTTGAGACGGAGCCTCAAGCTATCCCCCTGGGTAGAGTGCCATGGCATCACAGCTCACAGCAACCTCCAAATCCTGGGCTCAAGTGAGTCTCCTGCCTCAGCCTCCCAAGTAGCTGGGACTACAGGCACCCGCCACAACGCCCGGCCCTTTTTTTTTTTTTTTTTTTGCTTGCAGCCATCATTGTTGTTTGGCAGGCCCAGGCTGGGGATTCGAACTCGCCACCTTAGGTGTATGTGGCTGGCACCTTAGCCGCTTGAGCCACAGGCGCCCAGCCCATTAGCAGTTTTTTTATGTAAAGCTCTCCTTGGCCCCTTCAGCCATGTTTAAGACCTCAGAAATAGGCTGGGTTCTGTGGCTCACACCTGCGATTCTAGCACCCTGAGAGTCTTAGGCAAGTGGACTGCCTGAGCTCAGGAGTTCAAGACCAGCGTGAGCAAAAGTGAGGCCCCATCTCTACTAAAAATAGAAAAAATAGCCAGCCATTGTCGCAGGCACCTGTAGTTCCAGCTACTCAGGAAGCTGAGGCAAGAGGATGGTGTGAGTCCAAGAGTTTGAGGTTGCTGTAAGCTATGATGACACCACGGTAGTCTACCCCAGGGTGACAGAATTCTACTCTGTCTCAAAAATAAATAAATAAATAAGACCTCAGAAGTAAGGCGGTCTTGTATCAGAAGACACTAAGTGCCTAAAAGAAGAGTTGCTGCCCCAAATCAAAACTAGTAACCATGAAGTGGCCATAATATGTAGACAAGCTCAATTTTATGGTTTTTAAGCCCTTTCAGGTTCCAATCATTTAAAAAAATAAGAGAACTCGTTACCAGAAAACAAGTCTGAATTTTTTTTTTTTTTTGAGACAGAATCACACTTTTATGCCCTGGGTAGAGTGCCCTGGCATCACAGCTCACAGCAATCTCAAACTCTTGAGCTCAAGCAATCCTCATGTCTCAGCTTCCCTAGTAGCTGCAATTACAGGCACCCATGACAATACCCAACTAATTTTCTCTTTTTGGTAGAAACAGGGTCTCACTCTTGCTCAGGCTAGTCTTGAACTTCTGAGTTCAAGTGATCCACCTGCCTTGACCTCCCAGAGTGCTAGGATTACAGGCATGAGCCACTGCACCTGACATTAAGTCTGAATTTTCAAAGAACATTAGTAAAAATGCTAATGTGAGCATTGGAATTGTTACTTGGGGATCTCTACTGGTAATAGTTTTTACTGTCTAAAACATAACAGAGGTGAGACTTTGTGCCCCTATGGAGAACAGGGAATAAAAAGGCCTTTCACAGGCCTTGAGCAAGCTTTAGCTGCTGCCAGTGTTATGAACAAGAAGCATTTTAATCACTCATTTATCTTGTGGATGGAGCTGCAAACTCATCTAAATCAAACTCATGGGACTGCTCCACAGCTGTGAAGTCTTCTAGATCTTTATCTAGAATGAGCACTCTAAATTGTTAAAGCCTCCCCAGTGAGACTGTGTCTATGAGCAAGACCCAAAAATGATATTTTAATAATAGCAACAATTTACTGAGCACATACTATGTGCCAAGTACTCTCACCCATATACCTGAAGAGCAAGGGCCACAGCTTTCTTTCAGTTTCCTTGAAGAGGCCCATCGATGAACTTTTGCTCAGGTATCAGATTTCACTAAAAATGTGATGAAAATATTGTAAAAAGTATGCCCACTTGGAACATTCTATTCTTAGAATATAATATCCTCCATTATATTTCAAGATGGCAAATTGAGCCATAAATGAACTCGAATCTTGAAAATTTTTAGTATTGTCAAAAATTAAACAGCTGTACAGAAGTGATGACAGACATGAAATACTGAGTGGTTGAACTGAAAAAGAGGCTTTAACTTAATATTGATGATGTTGATCTCTTTGGAAATAGTTTTGCTTCTCACTTAAATGTGACTAATCCTCCCATATAAGATCATCAAAAACAACATAGTGCTGTCCTGTAGGATACTAGTGCAGAGAAGTAGGAAACTTGTGTGATGGTCAGAGGTAGTCTTTGGGCCCAAACAGGGCTGAGTTTGAATCTCAGTTCTGTCACATGTAGCTGCGTGTTGCCTCAGTTTTCTCATCTATACAGTAGAGCTAATAATAGCTATTCTATAGGGCTATTAACAATGATTAAATGAACACATATATGGGTGAGAGCACCTGCCACATAGTATGCACTATTATTAAAATATCATTCTTGTGTCTTTCTCATAGACACAGTCTCACCAGGGAGGAATCAAATTAAAGTATATATCAACTTATGAAAGTAACTGAGAAAATGAGAACTGAAGGAGAATTCACTCTTGACTTTCTTAGTCTATGTCTCATGTATAAGTCTTATCTCTCTACTAGATTCAGGTGAGGTCCCTATAGACATAAACTTTTCTCCTTTCTGGCACCCGCGGTGAATAACACAATGCTAAACAACTAATGAATAATCAAGAAATGCTTGTTGGCATTTAGCAACATCTTGTGTGTATGTATACCCTTCTTAAGAGAACAGAATTATGCCCTACCATGTAGCAATCTGAAATTTTCTAGTAACTTTCTAATAAGAGGAGAAATGTTATTATCCTCAAGTGGGTTTGCTTCCTAATTGGTTACTGGGCTCATCTTTAGCCATTGTAATAGTTATAAATTTATAAGTATCATTAACATTGCAGCTGGGACTGAGATAAATTTCTAATCTCCATTTTTAAGGGAAAATCTTAATTTTTTTATGTCACTTAGATTAACTACAGGTCCTTTGTACTTAAACTTTGTACTTAACTTAAACTTAATCTGCATATTTAAATATATTTAATATTTTTCTGTAGCTTTGTGATATGTAAGTCTAATGTAGGCATGCATACTCTTTTTTTCTCAAGCTCTATTGATGTCCTAACATTTGCTTACCATCTTAGAGAAAATTTGAAAACACATTACTCTTTTTTGAAATTCTTAAAAGTGTGAGTGCATAATAATATTAAGTATAGATTGAAGAACTGATGTGATTACATATGCATAATTGATCAAATTTACGATTGGTTTTTTTAAGTCTTCTCTGAGGAAGAGGAATATGGATGATCCAGAGAGCATTTATTACTAATAATGGCACGAATTTGTATGGAGCTTTAAAATTGTTTGCATTTTCATGAGCATATTCCTGTTCTGTGATATATATGAGATGCTATAGCAGTGCTGCTTTATCCGGAAAGAAACAGAGGCCCAGAGTAGTTGAGTGAATTTCCTAAAGTCACAGTGAGTGGCAAATCTGGGATAAGAACCTAGATCTTCTGTTTCTCAATAGTTTTTCCAGATCTTGTTGAGAATTATAGCTCAAAACACAACACTAGCTATCAGCTCTTCTCTGCTGTTTAAACAATTGGTCATTCTATGTTCCATATCAAAATACTTTCCATTGACTCCAAGAACATTCTTTCTGTTTCCCTCCCAGTTTGAACGCCATGACCCTGTGGATGGGAGAATTACTGAGAGGCAGTTTGGTGGCATGCTGCTGGCCTACAGTGGGGTACAGTCCAAGAAGTTGACTGCCATGCAGAAGCAGCTCAAGAAGCACTTCAAAGAAGGAAAGGTAGGTTCCTTTGGCCAGAGAAAGAAAAGAAATCAAGGAATGTATGGTTTTTACAAAGGTGTTAACATAATGATAAGAGTATGTCATGAACCAAGGATCACAACTAGTTCATCTCTGGTACCTGAGGTTCAAAGGGAGAAAAGAGATAACAATCGGTAGGGAAGAGGTAAGGGTTCAGAATAACCCCAGGTTACTTGTTCAGGAAAAGGGTACCACCACGAACTGAGATTGAGAATTTTAAAGGAGAGACTAGTTTAGATTAGATAGTAAGATAAAGAGTTCAAATGTGGCCATATGAGGCCTGAAGTAGATTCAGGAATTATCAAACACACTGTTAGAGTTGAAGTCATGAGAGTAGATAAGACTGCCCAAAGGAGGATGTTAAGGAACAGAACTGTGGGCCAAGGAAAAAATCACTGGAATACCACCATTTAAGAAGCTTCCTTCCCAAAAAGGAAGAGGAGGCTATAGTCTAGACAGAGGGAGGTCAAACGCACAGAACTCTGAGGCAGTCTATTAGTCTTCTTGGGCTGCTATTGCAAATACCACAAACTAAGTGGGTTTTATTTTATTAATTTTTTATAGAGATGGGGGGGGTCTCACTCTTGCTCAGGCTGTTCTCAAACTCTTGAGCTTAAGTGATCCTCCCACCTTAGAGTGCTAGGATTATAGGCATGAGCCACCACACCTGGCTTGGACTGCATAGTTTTAACCAGAAAGATTTATTTTCTCACAGTTCTGGAGTCTAGAATTCTATGATTAAGATGCCAGTCAGTTTGGTTTCGGATGAAGGCTCTCTTCCTGGCTTACAGGAAGACACCTTTTTTGGTATATCCTCACATGGTCATTATTCTGTGAATATGCATGGAGAAAGAGAGAGAGATTATCTCTGAGAACACTAATTTTATCAGATTAGGGCCCCACCCTTGTGACCTCATTTGACCTTATTTTCTCAAAGGCCTCATCTCCAAACAAAACCACACTGGACACAGTAGGGTCAGGGCTTCAACACATGAATGGGCAGCAGGGTATGTGTGACAAATATTCAGTTTATAACAGGCAGGAAGACAAATCTGGAATTTGTGAAGAACTGAAAGGGGACTTGGGTGGTAGAGCATACTGAGCAAGGAGGAGAGGGCCTGAGATGAGGTCAGAGAGATGAGAACCAGAGCATGCAGCTTCTTATAGGCATGGAAGGAGTTTGGAGTTTATTCACAGTGCACTGGGAAGCTATTAAAGTGTGTGAGTAGGCTCAGCGCCTGTGGCTCAAGCAGCTAAGGCGCCAGCCACATACACCTAAGGTGGCGGGTTCGAATCCCCAGCCCGGGCCCGCCAAACAACGATGGTGGCAGCAACCAAAAAAAAAAATAGCCGGGCGTTGTGGCGGGCGCCTGTGGTCCCAGCTACTTGGGAGGCGGAGGCAGGAGACTCGCTTGAGCCCAGGAGTTGGAGGTTGCTATGAGCGTGATGCCACGGCACTCTACCCAGAGGGATAGCTTGAGGGTCCGTCTCAAAATAAATAAATAAATAAATAAAGTGTGTGAGTAGTGAAATGACACAGTTGTATGTTTAAAGAGATAACTCTGGGGCAGCGCCTGTGGCTCAAAGGAGTAGGACGCCAGCCCCCTATGCCAGAGGTGGCGGGTTCAAGCCCAGCCCCGGCCAAAAGCTGCAAAAAAATAAAATAAAATAAAATAAATCATGTGCACAAATTCCCTTTAAAAAAAAAAAAAGAGAGATAACTCTGGCTATTTTGTGGAAAGTAATCTGGAAGGAAGCAAGCATAGAAGCGAAAAGACAGGCAATAAGACTATTAGAGAATTTAAGAAGAAATAATAAAGTTTTTTGAGCAGCATTAAGATTGGAGACCATGGACTCATGGTAACACTACTTACACTGCTCTCTGCTGCCCTTCAATGCCAACTGCACATAGAGTGAAAAAAGGGCAAATGGTAGAACTCAATCAGCCTCTGGGGTGAGATGAACAAAGTGAAGCAGAGACTAGTTGAGAAGTCAGGCCTCTCACTCACACACACACACACACACACACACACACACAGCAGTGCTAGAGCTGGAACCCATACTTCTCATTGTCATTGTTCCCAGGCCAGTGTTCTTCCTACTGGACAATGACTACCATCTGGCCATTCTACTACCAGGAATCTGACTTGACACTAAAAATGTTCCATGAGAGATTGCCAAGGTAGTGTGGCATGGTAGGCATGAAGCTAGAAGATTTGAGATCAAGTCCTGCCGCTAGTTTCCATGTTTGCTAAACAGATCACTTATCCTATTGGTCTCATGATTTGAGAGGCTTGTCCTAGATGCTTGCTATAAGGGGTCTTCTAGCTTTAAAGATGCAGTAACAGAAAATAAGAAATAGGATTGGTAGTGCTTGTCCCAGTTTTCCTAGTCATTGTGCAAAAAAATCTCGCATGAATAGCCTTGCTCCAAGTTGGTGAAAAGCCCTTATTTCAGCCAGACTTTTTGGTCTGTGTCTTGGATGTTGAAAAGTTGAAAGGACCCCTGAACCAGGCTGTGGGCTGCAAATGAAGGTAGACTGGGCTCTAAGAGAAAGTGTCAGCTTCTCTGAATTCATTCAGCCTTTTCGCACAGCAGGTGTTCTCTTGGCTGTGGGGAAAACTCATCATTAATGGAAAGTGATAGAGAAAAATATTTCTTTCCCGGAGAACACTTCTATACCACCCAGTAGCCAGCTGATATCTGTTAGAAATAGTAATTTCAGAAAATTGATTACAAATTATGGGTAGATTTTTTATCCCCCATGCTGGAAGCAGAGTGTTTGCATTCAAAAACGCTCCTTTACTTTGACCAGATATGAGTTTGTTCAGACATTGATTTGACCTTAAACTTATTATTTATCATGATATTGATTTGACCTTAAACTTATTATCTATCATGATAGGCCAATTCATTTTTTATTATGAATTTATATTTAAAAGCAATGAATTAGATGTTAGCGACATCTCCTTTGAAGGAATGTTTTATCTTTGACAGGTTAATTTAGGACCTAAAAGACCTTGCAAAAGTGCCCTGAAGTGAAAGGACAGATTTTGTCTGATGATGAAATTCTGGGGTACTAAATTACTTCTGGCCCAGAATTTCTATCCTGCCTTAGTAAGATTAAGATTGATTATTCTGGCTCAGCACCTATAGCTCAACCGGCTAAGGCGCCAGCCACGTACACCTAAGGTGGCGGGTTCGAATCCCCAGCCCGGACCCGCCAAACAACAA